TAGTTTGTCCTTCTTTTTTTTTTGTCAACAAGATTATTTCATTCATTTAATCGAGTAAAATACAAAGGGAGGGAATTAAACATCCTACATAATAACTGCAAGATAATTGAAATATAATAAAACATAGAGAAGATAAATCATCGCATGAGATGGACAGCGGATCCAAGGCAATCCTCCGATGCGTCAAGAGGGTCATCACGGCAAAGCTGGAGTGTCTCAGGTTAGTCACTTTGGAATGTGACTTTTAAGATCCCGGCATAATGCTCGGGAGATCGACCACTCTCCAAGAGAGGGAAAATTCAACCAATCTCAATGAGATGGTATAAGGTGGAAATGATCTCTTCCACCGAAATTAAATTGCAAGATTTGCGAATCTAGAAGACTTTGAAGCTGGGCAAATATAATAGAGAACCATCTCCCAGTTGGGCCTCAGCAGACTGGGCTTTGAAAGGGTAAACAAAACAAAACTGTCCAAGTTCAGTCTCAGCCCATTACCATGAATGATTGAGTGATTTCGGATCAGGCCCATTAATTGACAATAGCCCAACAACAACCTAATCCAGTCAACGGATGAGGATATGTTGACCACATTTTGACACAGTGGGACTTTGCCGGCGATTACAGTTTTGGCGGTGGCCAATGGTGGCTGATGGAGACCAGCAGGTCGGGGTAGGGTGCGGCTGGTGCCAAATCCGGTAGGTGGACTGATAAGTCGTCGGAGCCAAGCCGAAACACTTCCCGATCTGGTGCCGTTCAGATCTGGGGAAGGTTCCGGTGAGGAACGGTGGCGATGAAGCTTGACCGCGGATGATGATGGCCTCATCGATGCGATATGGTTCGACGGTGAGGATATCAGGACTAACCCTGGGAAGAGCAAGCCGGGACGGTGGTGTATCTTGTACACGGAAGGCGAAGGCAAAGGGGAGGATTCGGGGGGCAGTTTCGAAGTCTTACTTCGACGTTTAGACTCGGCACCACAGTGAGATAGTTGATATCGGGCTTCCGATAGNTTTATCGGTGAAGAAAGTTGGAAGCCTGGAGTTGTGCGGTGGTGGTGTACGGCGGAGGAGACGGAGGATGTCAGTGGGGTGACTTGAAATGTGGAAAAGGGAATTGAAATTCTTCGGTTTCTAACCGAGATTAGATCCGAGCCACAGTGGCTCGTAAATGACACAAAACACTTGTTCTTTGAGAGACCAAGCCAGGTCCAAAACCGTATATCTTCACCGCCGATAGGTGCGGGAATCAACCGGTGGAAAGCAGAGCATATCGAGATAGTAACAGGTGAATGCAGCGGAGAGCCCATCGTCCAACGCCGGCGAGCACAGGCTCCACCGGCGTCGGAATCAGAGAAGACTTTGGTTGCCTCGATCACTGTACCCGAGAGAGCGGCTAGGACGAACTACTCTGAGAATTTTGTGATGTTTATTTTGTGGGATTTGCTACGTTAAATAAAAGATCCTACTTTATATTTGTGATGTTTACTTTACACTACGGGATGATTTACTATGAGAATTCTGTAATGTTTATTTTATTTCCGGTGTTTGTTTCCCGTAGTGTTAAGTAAATCATCCATAACCACTTGGTCCACTTCCCAGTCTTTATTTGATGAGAGAAATCCAAATTTTGCTGACAGAGAGGACCCCAAACCGCAGAGGAGAATTTACATGCGAAGAAAAGGTGGTCCCAAGATTCAGGGTCGCGGTTACACAGGAGACAAAGGTTGTCGGTTTGCAAACCGCTAGCCAGAAGGCGTTCTCTGGTTGGACATCGGTTGAGGACAAAAAGCCAAGTAAGAACTTGATGTTTCAGGATACCCTTCTTGATCCAGACAATGGAATTCCAACTAACATCTAGCTTGGGCACTCTTAAGCGATTATATACAGAGATGGAACAAAAAGTATTACTTGTTCTCTCATCGATAATCCATTGTAACTTATCTTCTTCCTCAAATAAGGTCACAGTTGTGAGATGATAAATTTGGTGTTACTGTTTATGAGAAATGAAGAACATGAAGAGAGAAATAATACACAGAAAAGATTTTCTTAGTTTCTCTCTTCATGTTCTTCATTTCTCATACTCTTTTAGTGGTCATTTTATTATCTAGCTACTGTATTTTAACATTATCTGAGAAATATATTTAAAAACTAATCTTAATATGTAAGATATTATATAGAATGCAATTGGAAAAAGTGTTTGTTTTGTATCTATTAGATATATGAAAGCATTTTGCCTTCTTTTTTTTTCGGTATGTTTTTTGTATTATAATTAAAGGCCTTAAAGTCCATATGTTACAAACTGTCCATAGCAAAGGCCTACATTACAAACCCACACCAATGCCATTCCCAAAAAATTGGCTTCAATGAGATAAACTCATAACCACAGCATATCCAAAACTAAGGCAATGTCAAACCGATGATTCGAGAAGGATAACCGATGGATACATAGGAGTGATTCCTATAATCCTTGGTTACACTTAATGCTATAAGAAACACTCCCCGATTTGAACCTGCATTCGCCACTTCAAATATCCATTCCAACATAGGAGATAAAGCTTGTAACAAAACATGAACATGATATCTGAAATTTGGCCATGCTTTAAGCCTTAAGACTGCTCCCATCAAATCTGTATGCTGAGCAGAGAAGATTACTCTCTCCTTCCTATGACTTCTCATGCTTTCAATACCCCAAATCATCACTCCAAGCTTGAAGTCGGCCTCCGTTTCATAACCACCAAAGGTTCTACGGCTGTGTAACACCACTGTCCCTCTAGCGTCTCTCAAACCCATCCTCCTCCTCCAATCTTTTCTCTATGATTCCCCGAGTGACCAATGTTGCACTTGAACCAACCCTCATGCGGCTTTCTCCACTTGTTCACCTGTATATTAGGCCCTCCATTCTTTAAACCCTCTCTTTCTTCTTGCATTTATTGAGCCATAAACCACTTCTCTGCATCCTCCATTAAAAGTCTCAATC